TTTGTGCCTTTCAGCTCTTCCTCCACTTAGAGGAAACAAGCCTCTTGGTACAAGGCTCTTGGTTTGTCATTAATATACTGTTTACTCTTACCTAGCTCTCCTAGCTTTCTATCCTCATCTTGGGCCATTGTTTTCTGTGCCTCTTGCATACTTGAATCCTGAATGTCTCCCACAGTTTTTTGGGACCTTAGTCTATGACAGTGCACAGGATATTGAAGTGGTCATGTTGTGGAGTACCTCGTTGGCCATGTAGCACTGAATATTGCCTGCAGTGCTCATGAGTGGATGATAATACCACCTTCTGATTGGTACTCATCCATTTTTTTCTTATTTCTCTCCCTTTCAGATTGCTTCAAGTTGCAAATTCCTTCAGATTGGTCTGGATGTCTCTGAAAGAACATCTGAGCTGGATTCTACCAGTTCAGGGTTCTTGCTGCTTCAGGCTCTACCCATTTGCTCTGAGGCTGAGAGGATTAATGTTTAGCTGCACACCTGATAGACTGTGCTCTAGGGAGATCCATTTGGTCTAGGCTAAGTACCAATAAAAGATAGTTTCCTGAGCTACAGGAAAGATCCTAAAATAGTGTAGGAAATAGAAAAGGAAAGACATTATCTATTTATAATACTATTTTAACATCATAATAAAAGTAAATTACATTCTTTAGGATGTCCATTACATGATTACAGCATGCATTCATTATGTGATTTATAGCATTGCATACATTATGTATGTATATGTACATACATACCATATTTATGTTTTCTAAATCAAAATAAGTGCCATCCCTGGCTATTGTCAGTATAGTTTCTTTTCATTGTAATGTATTGCAATAATTTATTTATTTTGGTACCGGGGAGTGAACTCAGGACTTTGTGCTTGCCAAGCAGGCTCTTATGCTGCTGAGCTTTCTCTTTAGCCCTAAAATAGGTTTTGAATAGTATTTAAATATTTTATTTTATTGTTTTTTTGGAAACAGGGTCTCTCTGTGTAGTCCAAGTAAGCCTTGAACTCATGGCTAGCCTCCTGCTTCGGCTTCCCATGTACTGCAATTACAGGCATATGCTACCATCCCTGGTTTGAGTATATATTTTAGACCACTGTTTGCAGGAAATCAATTTAGTGGACTTTGATTTAATTATTATTATTATTTTTTTTTTTTCTGGAACCAGGGATTGAACTCAGGCCCTTGCACTTGCCAGCCAAGTGCTTACTCTACAGAGCCATCTCTCCAGCCCCTGAGTTGTCTTTTAACAAACACTGAAATTAAACAGTTGACTAGAAAATACATTACATGTAGTAAGGACAGAAATTGTTTCTTGATAACTGTGTGCATGTATGGTGAATTGCAATGTAAAAATGTATTTTTTTACTATGAATTTCTCTTTTTTTGGTACTGAGAATAAAATTTAGGGCCTCATTTTGTCAGGCAGACACTACACCACTAAGCTATATCCCTAGCCCATTACTTAAGTATCTGAGGTTTAAAAAAGTGAGAAGTGATGTCTTCATAAGGTAAAGAAGGCTACTTTAATAGGAACAATTATGTTGACTTTAGCAGTATTTATGGAGGGTTGAAGTTTAGAAGAGATCCCCAGTTTGGACATAAAATAAAAATGTAGGTTACTATTGAACAAATCCTGTGAAGCCCTTCTACTCTGCTATCTCTTCAAGATATTTGAGGGCAGCTGTTCTTTAGGTGTGGTATATAGTGCACGTGGCCCAAATATAGTGTCTCTGAGTAAGTATTTGACCCCTTTTTGGCCTAAAAAATATTTTCATCTGTTTTTTGTGTGTGGTAGCTTTGGCTCCCTCCCCAAAACCATTTACATATTTGTTCTTTAGCTTGTCAGTGGCCTTTGTAAAACATGATATTTAAATGTAATTATCATAGTGTGGTTTTATCACTTACTACTTTACTTACTGTAGATCAGGGATTGGCAGATTCTGTCTCGTAGGACAAGTCTGTCTCCTGTATTTGTAAATGAAGTTTTATTAGGACATAGCTATGCCTACTCATTTATATTTTTAAATGACCGTACACCTGCTATTGCTGCAGAGTCGAATAGCTAGATGCAGAGACTGTGTGGCCTGCAAAACCTAGAATACTTACTGTTTGACCTTTTATGTGGTTTGTGGATCCTTACTTTAGATAGTGCTTTTCTATTAATGCCTTGGATCTGCATTGTGGACAGCTACCTCAAACTCTTAATTCATACTGAGTTCATAGTCCACTGAAACAACAAAGTGTTTCACATGTGGAGCTGTTAAGTAGTAAAGGTAATTTGAGTGTTTTTTGTCTGTCTTTGTAATAGTTTTTAAAGGTTTTCTGGAGGGGTCAGATTTTGTTTTGTCTTTGAAATCAGAGGTACACACGGCAATCTGCTCTGAAAATATAGTCTAGTTACTGTGTATAATTTACATAAAAGATTTCAAAAATTGGTTTCCTGAAAAACTAGTTTCTTGAGATGATCTTGATTAAATGGGTATTAGATTTGGAAGACATTTCATATGCTATCTTTTTATTACTTACAATGTCTGTGTGCATGCATACATGTGTGCACACATTCACGAGTACATACACTATGTTAACAACATTAACATTTTGTATTTTCTAAGGTATAATCACAGAAAATACTGGATTAGGAGAATATAATCTAAATATAAGGAGTAGTAGTCAGGCTAGGGAGATAGCTCAGTAGAGTAAGTGCTTGCCTGGGAAGCACAAGGGCATCAGTTCAATCCCCAGTTCTGCCCCCCCCCCCAAAAAAAAAGAGAGTAGTAGTTACTGGTGGAAGGCTAGACAGCTACTACTAAAGAGACTTAGAAATTAATATTGTTCATGTTTTTATAATATCTGAGATGATGAAGAAATTACTATTTTATGTAGAACTTTTTTTTTTTTTTTTTTTTTTTTAACAGAACAAGGGATTGAATTCAGGCCCTTGCGCTTGCCAGGCAAGTGCTTAGTCTACTGAGCTATCACCCCAGCCCCTATAGTACTATTTTTTAACATCAGTAGGGGCATCAGAAACATATTCTACTAAGCAGGCTGAAGCAAAAGGATCAAAAATTTGATACTAGCTTGGGCAACTTGGTGAAACCCTATCTTTAAAAAACAAATAAACAAACACCAAAGAGACAAAAATCAGAGTTATAAAAAGAGCTGGGGATGTAGCTCTGTGTAGAGGCCTCAGCATCAACAAAGTAAAGACTAGTACAATGGTGTGCCTGTTCCTTTAAGTTCCTTTTATGAACCGTAGATCATTTTAAGGCTTATTCACATATTTTTGAAGATCTGATGGAGAGATTAATGAGAATGTGGAAGTATTGAAAGAATTAAGATAAAATGTTTTCTACAATTAGAATAATAAAAATTGTAAATTTTTTTAATAGACAACATTAATTTTATTTTCATTTACTTTATGCTTAATTTATTCCTATGCCATAAGTTTTTGTTTCTTCAGCTTCTTCTGGGATATCTTTTTCTTCTGTGCAACATTCTCCTCTGGTTTGGGAACAGTTTGTTCCTTTTTAGTAAGGATCATCTCAGTATGGCAGGGGGAGCTTAGGGATGGGTTAATCCGGCCATGAGCTCTATAACTACGGCGGCGCATCTTGGGTGCTTTGTTCACCTGGACATGTTCAATAACCAGAGAATCTACATCTAAACCCTTAAGTTCAGCATTACTCTCTGCATTTTTAAGCATGTGCAACAAAACTTCAGCACTCTTTTTGGGCCACCGACCCTGCATCCAGCCCCACTGTTTGGCCTGGGCACACCTACCAACTCCACCATTGTAACGCTGGAATGGCACACATTGCTTCTTTAATGTGACATCCTTGAGATACTTGGTGGCCTTTCGTATATGCACACCCTTGATGGCCTGGGCAGTTTCACGCGTGTTCTTAAAGTGAACGTGAAGATTTGAGCCTCTTGATTTGCATGATTTTTGGGGTTTTCTGGGTAGAGAGAATAGCGAACCATTTTCACAGGTCACCTAAGGCCGCTCACAGGAAGAGGAAGAGCCATAAAAATTTGATTTGAGTTAAAAAGTTGAATTAATGGACAGGGCATGGTGGTGCAAGCCTGTAATCCCAGCACTTGGGAGGTTGAGGCAAGAGGATTATAGTGCAGTCCAGGCCAGCCTGGGCTACATAGTGAGTTCAAGGCCAGCAGGAACTACATCGTGAGATGCTGTATCAACAAAACAAAAAACAAAACAAAACAAAAACCCACAATGCTATAAAGTTGACTTTATACCTAACCTTTCAGGAATACATTGGTGAAGTGAGAAATGTCCACAATATAATTTGTTTTTTCGAAACATTGTAGAGATGGTAAAGTTCTTTGTAGGTTATTTTTTCAATTTATTCCTCTCCCCTCCCCTTATTTTTGTATCTCCAAAGTTAAGAGTATGATCTTTAGTCATTGTAGCATCTTAGTTTGGAATGTTTCAATGTAAACATCTCTCAGTAAATATTTCTTTTCATTGTGCAAAAGGTCATGTAGATGTCCAGTAGAAAAGTGGATGTAGTTTATTTTTTTTTTTCTTTCTTTTTTTTTATTTAAAAGAGTCTCACTAATTTTTTTTTTTTTTTTTTTTTTTTTGTGGAACCAGGGATTGAACTCAGGCCCTTGCATATGCCAGGGAAGTGCTTATTCTATTGAGCTATCTCCCTGGCCCCTTGAATATAGTTTAAATTCAAGATAATGTCACCAGACCAACATGTGGAATATTAGAAGTAGTTGTCTTTTCATATTAATTATTATTATTGTTACTTTTTTTTGAGACAAGGCCTCACTATGCTGCTCAGGCTGCCTCTGAACTTGCTTAGGTAGCCCAGGCTGGCCTCAATCTAACAGTGACTCTCCTGGCTCAGCTTCCTGAGTGTTGAGATTACAGGTGTGCGCCACCATGCCTGGCTTGATACACATTTTAATTGTTATCCAAGTATTGTCTAAATGTTTTTATGAGTTTAAACTATCTTCTCTCCACAGAACCAAGTCACAGACACCAATAGAAAACTGCAACAAGAAGGAAAAGAAGTAAGACCAGTTTATCTTATTAAAACTATTTTCTCTTTTATGTCATTGTCTGTTGATAACTATTTGATGACTGTTCTTCAGTTAGGGGCTTATGAAATTTTTTAAGCATTTTCTACACTTATTTCCCTAGTGGTTGTAGTAGTTTATATTCCTACCAACGATGTACTGTAGAAGAGTCATTTTTTCCCTATATCCTTGCCAGCATTTGTTATTATTAGAGTGTTTTTTTTTTTTTTTATTTTGATGATAGCCATTCTTTCTGAGGTAAGGTGATATTTAAGTACAGTTTTATGACCAGTGGTGTTGAACATTTTTTCTTGTATTTACTGATCATCTGTACTTCTGAGAAGTGTCTTTTCATTTTTATTGGCCATTTCTTTGATTGGGTCTTTATTTTGGGAGGGGCCCTTAAGTTTTGAAGTTCTTTAAGTATTTTATTTTTTTCATAGAACTCAAACAATGATTTTTATATTTCCTTTATTAGTATCTACATATATTACATTAAATAAAAAGACTAAGCAGCATATTGGAAACACTTGGGTATTACTATTGCTTCTCCTAATTTTTTTTCAGTTAAATGAATATAGTCTTGGGAGAATTTAATGAGAGAGGATGCAGCCTTCCTTAACCGTGCTTTTTAAATCATTGATTGAAAATATGGCCAATGCTATTCTTTGCTTGGAAATGTTCATTACCTAATAGGTCTTTTCAGTAAGACCTATCCTAAACCTTATTTGTACTTGTAGCCTTACCTCATTTCCTACATTGTGTGTGTGTGTGTGTGTGTGTGTGTGCGTGTGAGTGAGATTGGGGGCATTGCACTCAGGGCCTTTGACATGCTAGGCAAGCACTCTACCACTGTGCTACATCCCCAGCCTTCCTGCATTCTTTTTACCTTTTCCCAGTTATTTTTCTCCATTGTATCTGTCACACTTTTTGTTTATATTTTTACTTATGTAACTGTTTTTGTCATCTCTCCCTATTAGAAACTAGGTCTATGTGATCAGAAAGTTTTGTTTCATGCCTTTCCTGTTTAAATAGCAACTGACACAAAGTGGAACTCAGTAAATAAATATCTGTTTATAAAGTGAGTGATGGCTGGGGATGTAGTAGCTCAGTGGTGGAATGCTTGCCAGGCTTGCATGAGGAATGAGGTTCAATCCCCAGTTTCAGGGGGAATAAAAAGAATTATTGATTCTATTAGTGGATACACTCACTGTTTAAACCTGTACAGTTAGCAGAACTTTACATCCATTTACTCATGTAATTCCCATGACAGATTAATGATTATGTCAGAGCAGTTATTACCTTTGTTTTATTGATGATGACTAGTACAGATGATTGCTAAGTTTATAAATTAATTGATAAGACTAGGTTAAAACCCAAGTTTTCTGACTTATAATTTATTACTGGTTTCTGTTTTTTTTCTTGGTCTCGGGAGTCAAACTCAGGACCTTGTGCTTGCCAGGCAGGCTCTTAAGCTGCTGCACTATCTTCCCGGCCCCATTATTGGTTTCTGTATCGTACACTTTCTTTATCCCCTAATACTTATTTAATATTTAATTTTAAAAATCTTTAAGAATGGCTTCTGATTGTTTGATGAATAACATAATTAGGGGCATTCTCTTTCATTCTTTTTTGGCATGATATCTAAAGAAATAACATTTTTAGGCACGAGTGAAGGATCAGTGCTGCAAGTGGAAATTCAATAGTTTCTCATATTGTAATTATGCAGAGTACAGTTTCCACTAGTATATTGTGGAATGACTTCAGGTAGAAGCCTTTAGGAGCTATGCGAAGAAAAATGTATCACACTTTACTAAGCTGGATCTTATAGAGAAGCTCTATCTGCTAAGTGTGGGGCTTATTTGTTGAAATAGAAACTTAATTGAAGATCATTTTCAGCTGACTTGAAGCGATCTAGGAAGCACTGTTTTCTTTAGCATTCGTGAGAGAAATATAGACTTTTATCAGGAGATTGATGAAACTACGAATAATGAGTCTGAATAGGATTCGGAGAAAGTATGCAAAATATTTTCTTTTCTCTGGGTAGCCCCTATATTTTAGGGTTTCATTTCATGTAATCCATTCTAGCATACTCTGTATTTTGTGGAGAAAGTGGGAAACTGTGCAGGGATGTTTTACTGGTTGGGAAAGGCATTCCTTAGTCCGCTTGGCAGGTCTTTCTATGAAACTGTCTGGGATTTTCTGATGAATTGAACTCAGTGTGGAAAATGTGACTGAAAGCTTTTTATTTACAGCTGGTGATAGCAATGGAAGAGCTGAAGCAGTGTCGACTACAACAAAGAAATATTTCTGCCACTGTTGATAAATTAATGCTGTGTCTTCCAGGTAAGGAACTGGAAATGGGGTAGGATTCTTGGTGCAATTCTTTTAACTTTAATGTACTTTAATTCTTCCTTCACTTTCTCTAAATAATGTGTGTGTGTTTTTTTCCCTCTCTTTCAAGTCCTAGAGATGTACAGCAAATTGAGGGACCAGATGAAAACTAAAAGGTAAGAATTTTTATTGAAAAGTTAATATCTAAATTTGCTTTTAGTAGTCTGAATTTCTTTTATGGCTAATTTCTTTGGAGGTGAGAGTGGAGTACTGAGGATTAAATCTATGGCCTGCTGCATACTAGGCAAGTACTTTATCACTGAACCACATTCACAGCCCTAAAATACTTATAAGGCCCATATTTGGTATCACTTTTCCAAATATAACATCATCTTTAGCCTTATGTGTCCTTAGTTATTGATTCAGCTTAGATTTGTGTACTACTGGATATGTATTATATTTAATAAAAAATAATACTTGTAGTTTGATTTTAGAAGTTCCAGTCTTCTTTTTTTTCTTTCCTTTTTTATGTGTTTGATATAGGATCTCACTATGCAAGAAGTCCTAGTCTTTAATTTTATTTATTTATTTATGTGTGTGTGTGTGTGTGTGGCCAGCTCAGCCCACCAGGGGGCGGGGCTGGCTGGCATGTGGTGCTGGGGGATTGAACCGCGGTCCCTCTGCTTTGCTAAGCTTGTTCTAAGTAGGTGCTTTAGACCACTGAGCCATCTCACCAGCCCAGTCCTAGTCTTCTAATGGGAAAACCATATAATTATTTTGGTGATAGTTTGAAAAAGATATTATGGTTTAATATTTTCATGGGAAAAAATAGTCACTGGTTCTGGTGTAGGAGTGTATTGGTCAGGCTTCTCTAGCAAAGTAACCAATAGAGTATCATGCTTGTGTCTGTGTACATGCTTATCTGTCTCTCTGGGGGAAGATTGAAGTGATTGGCTACATGATTATGGAAGTTAGTAAGCCCACAATATACAGCGACAGCAGTGTTACAGTTTGTACCCAAAGGCAGTCTCGTGGTAGAATTGAGGGGTCTAATTGCTTTAAGGTCTTCCACAGTGATTGAAGGAGAGCCATGCACATTACGGAGAATAGTCTTCTTAACTCATGATCTATTGATTTAAGTGATAACCTTGTCCAATAAGTAGCTTCAGAAACTTATCGAAAAATGTTGACCAACTATCTGCGTACTGTTGCCTAGTCAAGTTGACACATAAACATAATCATCACAAAGAGCATGTTAATGTTAAATTCTTCTCCTGTGTAGTATTTCTTCTAGTTTTATTCCAGAGAAGACTCTATAGTGACTTTCAGTTTTGTTCCCAAACTAGAGTAAGCATACTTACCTTCTCTGCCCTGGGAGCACCTTGCAGTGTGTGGATATGTAAAGGAACAGTAAGAACACACAGAGTGCATCTTCTTGCAGTGCTAATTTTACTCCATTTTGAGGGAAAAAGATATATAGCCAAAATGTATTTAATACTGAAATAAGATGAGAAACATTGTCAATAAAAACATCTGAATTCTTAAGAATTTTGAAGCTAAAGCATAAGCATCAAATTTTTTGTTTCTTTGAATTATCTCCTTGACTCCCTATTCCCAAGGAGAATGTGCTTACATGGAGTCAGTTGGTAGAATACTATGAAGTACAATATTTAATGAAATGAGAATGTAGTATGTTTCCCTATTAACCTTTTAGTAAAGTTATTAAATTGCATATATATATAATGTAAATATATACATAGCATGTATGTGTATAAACATATATAGCCTAAACATATATTTACAGGTATATGCATATTTATACATACATATACATACTAGGCATTGAATCTAGAAGAGGTCTGCCCCTGAGCTACACCCTTCTTTATTTGAGATAAGATCTTGCCAAGTTGCCCAGGCTAGCCTTAAGCTTGCAGTCATCTTGCCTCGTCCCCCCAAATAGCTTGAATTATAGTCATGCACCACCATGTTTAGTTACCATATTTTAAAAAATTGCCAGTAAAATTTGTATGCCTTTCTTACGTGTATATCTTTTCCTGCTTGCCTGAGGAAACTGGTATCATAAATTTTGTGACTGTCCTTGTCTGTGTTTTAAATGTCTATAAATGGACTGGCCAAATAGCTCAGCGGATGAAAATGCCTGCAAGCAGGCCCAGGGGCCAGGGGTTCTATCCCTGGGCCTGCCATGCCGGCCTACCCCCGGGGTGCATTGAGACTGCAATTGAGACTGGGCGTGGTGGCCTGTGCCTGTAATCCCAGCTCTTGGGAGGCTGTAAACAGGTGGATCACTGCGAGACTGATCTAGTAGTGAGATCCTGAACACCGTGTAGCCCCTTCCCTAAAATACTAAATAAATAAATAAATAAATGCCTATGAATCAATCACACAGTTCTTGTTTTTTGAGACCCATTTATACACTCAAAAAAAAAAAAAAAAGAATTGTGTTTTATTTAGTTGATGTTAGGTATTACTCTTGATGCTTGGGATACAACTATGAGCAAAATATGACAATTATCTGCCTTTATGGCATTTTCATGCTAATATAGAACTTCGCTTTATGTGTATAGATTTAGTACACTCATTTTAATCACTATATGGTTGTTCACTATGTGAATAATCCATATTTCTTCTCCAAGCTTCAGTGCTTATGGTAAGTGCTATTTACTAATACTTTTAGCTCAGCCTTTTTCTATCACCAGGTAGGGTTGTATATATCTTGGGCTCCTTTTGTACAGGTAGGGCTTTAGGACTGTTTTTGACTGATAAGTTGTGAGTTGAAATAATGTGTTTTACCTTTGGGCTTCACATTTCATTTCTAGTGCAGGTCCTTTCAGAGTTCCTTTTTCTCTTGCTCATCATAACTGGTAATATTTAAAGGAGAGCTTCCTTGCCATCTTATTAAGCTTTAAACTGTTATATTAGGTCACTGAGACTTCTGGGTTGTCACTATATGATAAATATCCTTACAGGTACTAGGAGGGACATTTGGTATGATTATAGTTGTTTGCTGTGCAATAAATATTTTTGAAAAAGTATCTGTTCATAACTCTTTGATTGTCTTGATAATGTTCCTAAAATGCAGCTATGCATATAGATCACATGGGATAAGCAGATCTTGGGTTGCTTCTGAGGTTTTGCATTTTGCACGAGCCACAGGCTGTGAGGGTTCAACTGGTTCAGGCAGTTGATTACCTAGAGGGCAACCAATTGGAGCTAAGAAAAGTTGTGTGTTCTTCTATCTCATTAGACACTTTTCTAAAGGGCTTTTTTTCATGTATATTTCCACTAGCATTTTCCTGTTATTTTACTTCCTGGTAACGTCTTTATTGCTAAACTTTTTTTGTTTCTGCAACAATGATGATTATAAAATGATAGTTCACTGATACAGTTTTTCATTTCTTTGATTATATAGTATAAGTGTTTTTTGGAAATTGAAGTTTTCTTTAATATACTTCGTTCATTTTCCTTTTATGTTATTACTTTGTATTCCTATGAATTAATTGTGTTTTGGGTGCTTTTTTCTGTCAGTATGCTACAAATACTGTCTTTCTATCTATGGCAGATTTATTAACTTTGTAGAGTTAATATTTTTGTTGCATACCAGTTTTTGATACTGTCTTAGTTACTCTTCTCTTGTTGCTGGGACAAATATCCGACACTCAAAATAAAGGAAGGAAAGGTTTATTTAGCTCACAGTGACTGGAGGTTTTAGTCCATATTCATCTGAGTCCAATGCAGAGCAGCACAGAGCAGAAAGCAACCTTTCATGGCGGCAGCAAAGAGCAAGAGCTCAAGGGAGGGGTAGCGGCAGCTCATGCAGCTAGCTTCTCTTCCCACCTTACACTGTAATGCAAATTACCTGCCCCAGGGTAGGGGAAGTACTCACACCTATGGGTACTTCCCAGTGTTTACCCACCTATGGGTAATCCCAGCAGTACTAAGACCCATAATCCCAGCCTTGGATCACACATAATCCCAGTGGATCATGAGTTAACACAAACTCTAGAAGTCCTCACCCCATGAATGCATGAGGCTTTGGGGGGACAACTAGACACAAACCATAACAGATACAAATTTATTTTGTGAATTTAAAAACTTATTATTTTTTGTCTTTTTGAGACAGGGTTTCACTCTGCAGCCCAGGCTGGTCTTGAATTTGCAGTGATCTTCCTACCTCAGCCTCCCTAGTGCTGGGATTACTAGTCTGTGCCTACACTCCTAGCTAAAAAAATATTTTTATGCGTTCAAAAGTTCAGTATAAATTTTTTTCCTGAGCCATTTGAAAATAAGGTGCTGACATGATACTCTGTCACCCTTAATACTATACTTTAATCTAATTTCCTATAAGTAGAGATATTTTCCTTTGCAACAGCCTTATAATAGAGAATGGAAATTAACACTGACATATTACTAACATCTAATCCTCATATTGAATTCATTTTGCCAGTTGTCTTAATTTTTTTTTTTTTTTTTTTTTTTTTTTTT